AGCAGCAGCAGCAGCAGCTGCTGCTGCTGCTGCAGCAGCAGCAGCAGCAAATTTGCGGAATTTGCGGGTTTTGCTGCAGCTCCTGGATCCATGGAAATGGGGTCACCTCCAGCCCCCTCGGATGACACAAAAATAACAGACCACATTAGTGTGCAGATACGCCACGCCTTTGTCCGCAAGGTTTTGGGCATTCTCGCCGTGCAGATCCTCGTAAACCCTAAACCCTAAACCCTAAACCCTAGGTCGCGCACTGGGAGGCCTGGGGCCGGCCCGAGACGCTGCAAGTTGTTGGGTGGGCGCGGCAGAGAGCCGCCTCTGGCCAGGCTGCTGCGGGGTGCAGAGTCGGGGGTTTAGGGTTTGGAAATTAGGGTTTAGGGTTTAGGGTTTAGGGTTTGGCTGCGTTCAGTTCACCTTCGGTATCGCCTCCGTCTTCGGCTTCGTTCCAACGCTAAGGACTTTTCTGCTGCAGAACTATTGGCTGGCAATCGTTGCTGCAGTGTGCGGCTTGGTGCTGCAGCTGGGTAAACCCTAAACCCTAAACCCTCGTGAAACCCTAGTTTTTTTTGCAGGAATCACGGGGCGACGGCTTCTCGCGAGCAAGGCGGTGGGGTTGTTGTGATTTGCCGCTGCAGTGCTGGTTTGTGTGCCGGACTTGGCGCGGAAAGTCCCAGTGAACTTTATTCTCATGACTCTTATAACTGCTTGCTACGCCGTTCTTATTTCCTGTGCTGCTGCTGCTTCTTCTTGGGAGAGTTTCTTAATTGCCATCGGCTCCACCTTCGTAGTCGTCGTTGGCCTGATGCTCTTCGCCTGCCAAACCAAATACGACTTCACAGGTAGGGTTTAGGGTTTAGGGTTTAGGGTTTAGGGTTTCGCGGCGTGGGCGTGCGGGTGCAGAGGGCCTGACGCGCTCTCCCTCAGGGCCTCGAGCCTCTCCGCCAGCCCTCATCCCCCCAGCACCCAGAGCTCAGGGCTTAGGGTTTAGGGTTTAGGGTTTAGGGTTTGGGGTTTGCGGTGCAGGCTGCGGCACTTACTTGTTCGTGGCGGTGCTGTGCCTCATGATCTTCGGCATCTTGAGCATTTTCTTTCACAATAAAATTGTTCATCTTGTTTACTCGAGCATCGCCACAGTTTTGTTTTGCATGATTTTGGTCTACGACACGCAGGCAAGTCCCAAACCCTAAACCCTAAACCCTAGCAGGTCGCAGGAGCGGGGCTGCGCTGGCTGCGCAGCGCTCGCGGATGTGTCCCAAACCCTAAACCCTAAACCCTAAACGCTTGAGTGGATATTTGCCGCGCCGTTGCCGTGTTCGCGCTGCTTGTGGAGACCGTTCAAGGCCGAGGGTTTAGCGCCTAGGGTTTAGGGTTTAGGGTTTAGGGTTTGGGGTTTGTGCGCAGCTGGTGGTTGGGGGGAAGCACCGGCGCTACCAGTACTCCGTGGACGACTACATCTTTGCGGCGCTGACTCTTTACATGGACATTATAATTATATTTATGAACATTCTGGCAATAGCAGACAACTCTTGAGTAAACCCTAAACCATCGTTTGTTCCACTAAACCCTAAAAGATACTTTCATGTAAAGTCGACTTAGGGGGCCCCCAAACCCCCCCTGCTCTTCCTCGCAGCGCGCAGCAGCAACAGCAGCAGCAAACGCAGAGCGTTTAGAGCGACCCGGAGCCCTTTCCCGCGAAAACCCTTTTTTAGGGTTTAGGGTTTAGGGTTTGGGCCGCCGCATACAGCGCGCCCGGGGGCCCTAGACAGGAGCCTGATACGTTCCCGCTCTGTGGTTCCAAAATCAGACTGAGGCCAAAAGCAAAGATAATGTCTCTTAGCTGCAGCAGCTTCAGCCCATTTCTTCTCCTGGGTTGTTGCATTTCAAACTCCCTCGCGGGCGGTCTAGGGTTTAGGGTTTAGGGTTTACGGTCTAGGGTTTAAAAGCAGCAAAAGTCCATCTTAAGGCGCTGGACCCCAAACCCTAAGGTTTGGGGTCCAGCGCCTTAAGATGGAC